GTTCTACCATAATAAACCTAACCTTTTGTTAAAAAAAAAAAAAAAAAAGAATTTCAATAAAATGAAAAACGTGTCACTCACAAGGGTTCCATCATGTTTTTTCTCATGAAAATGCGGGGTATGTGGGGAGAAGAATGGCAACTGGATGATCCAATCATCTTTCAGTGGGGATTGGTGGGCTGTTCGTGAAAAGTCATCTTAATATTTTCATAGGACAGTCCACACAGGTTAGACCAAGACAGTGGTCTGGAACAAGCTCTGAGTCTGTGAAGCTCCTGGGTCCATCACTGGGTCAGAAGCAGGAATTCCAAGCAAAGACCCAAGCAGTGTGGGGAAGACCCGGGCATTGCATAGCCGAGGCCACAGGGTTGTAGCTGGCACCTCTGGGAATCTTTAATACCCTAGAAACAGAAAAGTTGATTTTCTGGATATCTACAGAGGAAGTACCTCTTTTTTATCTCCTCAAAATGCCTGGTGGCGCGCGCGCGCGCACACACACACACACGCACACATCGTAGTGACTCTGGTCCTATGAAGGGCCTCCAGCGAGAAGGGCAGCAGCCCCTCTTTTCTGCCCTCTCTACTGTCCAGAAGGTATGCTGACTGTCCTTATCTCAGTGCCTGACACCTCGCTTTGTAGCCTACATGTCGTTAAACACAACCACTTCTGGTGGACGAGGTAGGTATGTGAGGAGTGAGCCGAAGACTCAAGGGAGCCCTGTGCTCCTTTCTGGAACTTTCTCGGTGCTGTCCCTTTCTCTCAGAGGCTGAGACATTCTTCAGATCAAGGCCACCTTGACCTCCCTTATCACAACTCTTTGCCTCTCACCTCAGAAAAGTTGCTGGACTCTGAGCCTCCCTCTAGGCTGTAGTCAGACAGAAAACCAAGGCCAAGGTAGTGCTCCCCATCCTGTTCCCCTTGTTTCAAGAATCCATGCTCCATGTTGTCCAACATGTGAAATGATGGGTTTCAAGTATTTCATGCAATTTGTAGTTTCCAGGTTATGCTGGAGGGAGGGTAATTCTGGTAAGTCCTCACTCATGGCTGGAAGAAGTCCTCCCCATGGATAGTCTCTGGTCCAGGAGAATCATAAGGCAACAGCCTTTGTACGCTAACTCAAGGATTTGGCAGAGACAAAAGCTGGAATGAGTCTCCAGGTGGGGAGAGGCTCCTCCAGCCTTCTCCTGCAGCCCCTTCTCACCACACTGCCTTCAAAGGTCAGCCCCAAAGCTCTTACTTGGTTCTCCTTAGCATTGGCAGGGTTAAGCTCCTGGTGAGCCATAAAGGAAAATAATTTCAGAAAAAATACAGACAGCCTTAAAATAGACAGATGTCCAAAATAAAGGTCTTAGACTATTCATTGACTTCTGTTGTGGCCCCAAAGAGCTGACAGAGCTTTCCTGGCCCTTTGTCTGGCTCACTTGCCTCTCAGCTCCTGGCTATATCCACACTATGCTTGCTTTCTTCTTCCCACCCAGCTCTTTCCTCCACAAAGAGAGTGCAGGTTGCACTCACTAGGTCAAAGTGACATTCTGTAGTTGATGGATCTAGAATCGTTTTCATGGACGCAATGAACCTTCTCTCCCCTTAGAAACCCACGCTCTAGCTCGGGAATGGTGTGGACCAGGTTCCTTTGTGAGTCGCTTAACCAATACTCACTGAGTGTCTAGCATCAGCAAGGCCCTGCCTTAGGAATAGGAGATACAGGGTCCACCTGTATCTGCTGCTTGATCCTTGCCCTCAGAGAGGTCACATTCTAGCTCTTACTCTTTCACTGGCTTATAATATAACATTAGAGGGCTGGGGATTTAGCTCAGTGGTTTTGCCGCCTGCTGCGCAAGTGCAAGGACCTGAGTTCAATCCCCGCTACCACCAAAAAAAAAAAAAAATTAGAAACTCAAGAACAACATTATCCAACAATAAGAAGTACACTAGTGAAGGAAGTAGTGCTTGTTTGCCAAGTACAGCAAAACACATAAGCTCATTACGATAAAAAATTAAAGCACAATCTTCATTTCTAGTGAGTTAACAATAGCATGAGCAACTCTGGTTATACAAATAATAACATTAGGTGATGGAGATACTTAAACAGTAAGAATATAGCACCATTCATCCAAAATGGTAGCAGGACTGAGGGTGTAGCTCGGTGGCCCAGCACTTGTTTGGCATGCACAAGGCCCTGGGTTCTAGCCCCAGCACTGAAAATAAAATAGAATAAAGTAAAATATTTCATAGAAAATGGTAGTAAATAGAGCTCAGATGATGGAAGTGATAGCCAGCATTCCTTGAGCATTTACCAAGTGCTCAGGGCTTCACATCAATGAATACTTCGAATCCTTACAACCTCTGGCTCTGTTCTCATCATCCCAGTTCTCCATGAGAGGAGTCTCAGGCATTGAGAAGACCACACAGGAAATGGAGAACTGGGGACCTGAATATCCAAGAAATCCTAATCACTACTATTATGTTATTTATCTGACATAAGCAACAGCAGCACTAGACTCTGAAAGCTCAACTCTAAAGAAGGTAGCCGCAAAGATCATAGATCAACTATGTTGGAATAGAAAACATTTGAGCCTCAGCCCTGTTAATATGCTTACAGACATAAACAGCTCTACTTCAAATGACCTCAGTAGACCACCTGTGAGCCCAGCAACCCAGGCAGAGAGATCACAGGCTTCCTATAAACCCCCAATACTCTTGCAAAAGAGGCTGGAGACTCCTGCTTCCTGGCCAATCTCGGAGCACCTGGCTTTTCAAAGCATTTAAGGAAGCCAGGGAGAGGTAAGGTCAGGGGGGCTCTCTACTATCTGTTCACTGCTACATCACCAAAAGGGTCCCCCACTGCTGGGAGTGATGCACTATGGATCACTATGGCCAGGCCTAGGCCTGGTGGAGGAGAGGACTATGTTCCTTCCCACCCATTCGCCAGAGAAACATCAAGCACTGTCTCCTGCAGACCCTAGCCATTCTCCCTGTTCCAATCAGGCCTCCCCTTTCAGTTCCCTTATCTACACTATAAATAAAGATGCTGAGGATGCAAGTCAAGGTTTTTGTCTCATCAGGACAAAGAGTTTCCACCTGGCCTCAGCTATGTACACTTTTCTGTCCTCTTTGTCTTCTTAAGTGTCTTAATCTCTCACCATTGTTTCTCACTCCCTGAAGCCTTCAGCCACATGGGTCATGGCACCCCACAATCCAGAGGACCAGATTTCTTTCTCTTCTCATATTGCTTAGTATCTTTGGTCTTTCTGAAACCATTCCTAAAATCTTCTCTCTTAACAAAGGATTTCAAATCAAATCATTTCTGCTTCTATTTCTCCCCTTGCTAAAATCATTTGACATATTTATTTATTCTTGTCTCACCATAACACATGCTAATCAGGGAAAATGGAGCAACAGTCCCCAAATCAAGAGTAAGAGTCACTTACTATTTACACTGAACTTACTTCCTGGGTTATCTAGTTATAATCAGACAAATATTACATTCCTTCCTGTGTTTCAGAGAGGCGGTTGTGCGTGAACACTGACAACAAGGGAGTTGAGAAATACATCTTAAAGGTCACTCTTTTGAGTCCTTCTTGGGCAGCGTAGTATGGGGCAGTAGGATGCAGAGGTCAGAGGGTCTCTGCTTTTACCCAGGTGGGATGTGTGAGCCCTCAGAGGGAGCTGCTTCAGACCGGATATGAAGGTGAGTGGTTGGGGACAGACATGATGGACAGAAGGAAGGACAAGGTAGGAACTGGATTTGTTATAAATCTGGAGCCTCCTAAGAGGATTCATAGCTTAAGCTGGAACACAGCAAATTGAGATTCTGTTTTGTGAACAAATCCAGAGAAAGGCAATGAGAGGATCTTACTCTAAATGCTGAGAACACGCTCCTGCTGTCAACTTCTTATCTAAAATTCCAGGAGGTGTGTCTTCTGAGGACAAGATTCCTCTGCCTAGGGAAAAGAATGTGTGACTGTGTCATTTTGGTGACCATTTCATGTACTCAGTTGCTGCGCCAGATTGTCCCCTCCTGTCCTGTGAGGCCTCAGTGGTGCTGCCCGAGTGTGGTTTTGTGGAGCGACATGGCCTTTGCTGCCAATAGAAAAATCTAGAACCATTTGTTTCCTACTGATTCTAGTAAGTGGAAAGCCAGGCATTTTTATGAGAAGAGTTACACATAATGACATTCACTCATTTTCCTACAAAGATGACCGCAACCGATAACAATCGGTGAAATACGCAGCCCAGGCCCTCCCTGTGCCTGTCACATGCCCAAACTCTAGCCTTTCAGGAGGGCTTCACTAGAAGCTTCCATGGTGCTCGTTTGCTTCTTTTAGAGTCCAAAGTCATGTTGGTAGGGTTTGGGGGACGCCAGACCGGCTTGGCACCAAAGCCACTTTGCAGAGGGCATGCTGAGCACGAGTCCATTCGGGAGCGAAGCCTCTCAGCCCAGTCCCGGCCTGACACTGGGCCTTGTGTGCTGCCCTCCCACTCTGAAGTGGGGGCTCCCCACAGAGGCAGTGCTGGGGGAGGGAGGCTGTGACGCGCGACCCTGTCTGCTGCAGTCTACAGGAAGGAGGCTTTTCCTCCGTGACCCTGTCTTAGCAAGAGGCCAGCCTCCTCATGGCCCATCTGAGACTGGTCGCCGCTGAACGGCACCGCCTTCTGAGTCCCCACCCAGCTCAGCCCTTGCTCTTTCCCTTTCTCTTCTCCCTTCCTTCTCTTTATTCTATATTCTCTCCCTCCCTCCCTCCCTCCCTCCCTCCCTCCTTTCCTTCTTTCTGCAGTACTGAGGATTGAACCCAGGCACACTTCACACTGACCTGCATCCCCAGCCCTTCATTTCTATCTAGAGACAGGGTCTTCTAAGTCACTAAGTTGCCTGGGCTGGGCTCAAACTTGTGATCC